AAAATGTGTTAACAAAAATTACGGAAAGGTAGGTATATGACTGAGATTTTACTCCTACGATACGATACGCATATGACTAATCAGAAATAATACTTTATATCATTGATTTTACAGATTTTTACAATTTTTTCATAGACCATCTTTTTTCCCGATTTTTCAATCACATTATCTTACGATTAAGTAGAAAGCAAGTGAGTATTGATAATTTTTTTAGCACCTCATTAAATTGACTAAGTTTACTGATCCACATATTGAAAACTATTTCTAAGAATTTACGTAAATAAAAAAGTTGTAAGTTACGATAAGATGAATCCATTCACAGAGTTTTTTTTATGGATGTTAATAATTGTTAATGTACCGCGGACTAATACACTAAATAAAGATATTCGTTATGATTCGAGGTATGAAGTGTCATCCTCAGACCTTTGTCCTCAGACCTTTTTCCAAGGATTTCTTTCAAGAGATCCTTGCCCATCCATTATTCCTGCAGCTCAATGTTTCCTCTTTCTAAGGACCTTTGTCTTCACCATCCCACTCTCATCCTGTATGCTTTACTCTGAGTAATCGGCTCTCATTCTCTCTTGAAATATTGACCAGGACATCTGCATTTCTTCCTCAATGTCTGATCTTTCTCCTAAGCCGGTTTTGATACCAGTTCCTTGTGTATAGCTTCGTATTGTTTCTTTATGCTTAAAAATGTTGGTTACTGTTTGAAAATTAAATATAAATATAATTAAATGCAAATTATTATATGGTTGATAAGTCAACTAGTTCGACATTCACCGAACGAGCAGCCCTGATGAAGGTCTGGAACTTAGGCCGAAAAGTAGGAACAAAAGAAAAGTTTTTTTTCTGTGTGTGTATTTTCACTTGTGATTGGAACCTCCGAATAATTTCCTATGTTATCTACAGCCTACAATTTCTCCACCGTTACAGATCATTATATAAATAGGCAAAGACAAAACGGTTCAGTTCATTTTTCTCAACCGATATTCTTTTGTCTTTTTTTGTTTAGTAGCTATTGACCAGCTTTTGAGTATCAAAGACTCTTCAAAGAGATGATTCCATTAAGAATAAATAGTTATCGTCTGATTGATGTAATAATTTTCTTTTTTTTTTTTTTTTTTTTTTTGTAGTAGAGTTATCATTCAATTGAAATGAAAATCCTACTTTGGGATCTGGAGCGAATTTTTTTTATTAATTTTATTATTTTAATTTTTTTATTAATCGTTACTGAGTAATGCTCTTATTTTTAAAATTAAATTCGAAGTATTGTTTTCAGAGAGACAACAATGAAAATTCTCGCGATATTTACGAACAGGTTAATAATGGAAATTCTCATCAACCAATACCGGAATAGCAATTGAGGCATCTAACAGTTATCTCTCAATTAAATTCCTGTTTTTAACCGATATTGTCGGTTTCTCTATCTGCTTCATTCACGTATTGATTCAACAGGCATTTATAACATATTTATTATTACATATTTAGTAGGGAAATCAATAAATTTAAACAATATTTAAATTCCCATTTCCTTATTATCGAATTAATATTCCTTATAATCCTATGTATTATTTCTAAAAGGTGTTTTTTTTTTCGTTACGCCATAACTTCGTCAATTCTTCATCAAATCCAAAGATTGACCACTCATTTTGAAGATATTCTGTTCCTTCTCAGGCGAAAAATAGTCCTATCCCCCCGAAATTTCTGGAAAAAACGTTATGAAAGGAAAGAAACTTTATTTGCGATAACTCAAAAAGTATGCATTTTTCTCTGGATTGTACCCATGATAATTAGAAAAATTACTAAATTACCTACAAAACAAAAAAAAAAAAAAAAAATGGTAAAATTCGGACAATTATTAACAAAGATACAGTCCATTAGTTTTGGTATACTCAATAATGTCTTCCTGTTTAAAGATATTGCATTTAGGAATAGAATAGTCTACTACACTTTTTTTCCTGGCTTTTATATTAACTTTATTATTTCTTAAAGACATTTGGTTGTTCTTACATTTTATTTTTTTTAATAATTTAGAATATCCTATGATTGGGACATTATTTTGTCTTTATTACTTTTATTATCTTTCCAGTCAGCGTTTAAAAATAGGTCCTAGCAAAGCAATTTGTATAAATATTTTGGTCTATTATGTTTAATGGAAGATTGAAATCGACTAAGGAAAAAATATTAATTCCTTCCTTACATAATACATAGCAACTACTTATTTTCATATTGTTTTAATATTTCTTCACTAAACAAAATTATCTGTGAAATTTTCGCACGGGCCAACTAATTTAACTTAAAATGATTCCTTAATTTTAATGAAACAAAAATTTTGAGATAAATCGAAATAGCTAAAGAGAAAAAGTCAAATCTGTGATCAGGTGTGATGTTGCTAGGACACTGGCTGAACTATTTTGCTAGTTATGATGACGGTACCCTACAAGACCAAAGCAAAGCAGATATATATACGTCGAGAAAATACATATGGGACAAATGTATGAAATAGAGGTCCAGCAGGTCCTGAAATCTAATTATTCCCATTTTTCGAGGAAGATATCAGGTATTGGTCCTGGTGCATTTACTCTATATGAATAATCATGTTTTGGTTATGTATGAAGCATCGCCAATTGTCTGTGCTGAATAGGCTACCTTGATTATATTATATAGCTGCTATATTATATTAATAGCTGCTATCAAATATGAGAGTTTTCACTGTGGTATACTTTGACTAAATATATCTAGAATTTATTGTTGGTTTATTTCAGGGGCGGATCTACTGGGGGAGGGGGGAGGGCATTCAGGCTGAAGCCCCTCCCCCTCCCTCAAAATGGTAAAATATAACCATGTTTTATTGAAAAATATATTAAACAATTATCTCTTAAAGTATTATTGTTCATGTAATTACATTTAAAAGAACTTAAGGAATCACTTAAACACCATTTCATATAGATAGTTAGTTTATTTTTTTTTTCAAAGTAATTATCATTATTTTTATGAAAAAAAAAGCTTTAGGGCTGAAGCCCCCCCCCCCTCCCAAAATTAAATCCTGGATCCGCTAGTGCGGAATTCGTATTCTGTCAGCTACTTAACGAATAAATTTTATCCTTAACGAATAATCATGTTTTGCTGATGCTTAGCCAATTGTCTGTGCTGAATAGGCTACCTTGATAATATTATACAGCTGCTATCAAATATGAGAGTTTTTACTGTGGCATACTTTGACTATATATATCTAGAATATATTTCAAAAAGCCACTAAGTAAATTTTTGAAACTAGTAGGCCCGTGCGAAAAATTCGTACTGCATATTGCTATCAAATGCCAGATTAATAAGAAAATAAAATAATGCGATAAAGAAATCAAATGTTACTTTATCGATAAATATAATCGACAAAGAAAACAAAAATTAATTTAAATCTTCATTTTTATTGGGAACCAATAAGTTTACAAATTTCAGTAAGCTGTATCTTTGCTAAAAATTGTCCGATTTCAATGTATTTTTTTCCTTTTGTAGGGAATTTAGTAATCTTTTATATAATCACGGGCATAACCAAGGGAAAAGTGTGTAATTTAGTTATTCGCAAATAAACTTTGTTTTCTTTTGTAACTTGTTTGCCTGAATTTTCGGGTTGATTGGACTATTTTGTTCGCCTGAAGGAGAAGGAAGCCTTCGAAATTGGTGGCTCAATCCTGAAATTTGGTGAAGAATTATTGATGATATGGCTTTCCGATCAAAAACACCATCGATAAATAATATAAACTCCTCCTCTCTCGACCATAGAGATCTCAAGTCGACGAAATGAGACATGTATTCAATGACAGTACTACAATTAATGTAACGTTGTGTGGATGCGAACCCTATGCCTTGCGTTATCTCGAAAATAGTACGTTTTTGGGCTTAAAAACGCAGGATCCGATAGTTCCGGGTCTTGCTGTACGCATCAAAATCTTCTAGATCCAATTTGTCCCGTATCGATCTACAGACCTACCACTGTTCAGGTATTGAAGCCTAGCAAAATGTTTGTATCGACTTTATTTATTTTAGAAAGAAAAACAAAAGTTGAGAACACGATTCGCTAACCCCCCGTGAAATTCTGAATCCAACGGTAACCCATTCATGGTATTTGAGCATGGCAGGAGCTTATATTTGGTACAAAACCGATTTCGACCTTTACTGTAATAATATATGTACGGATACGGATGTACGGATGATGATCTTATTTACTGGTACAGAAACATAGTAAATGAACCATAACGAGTACTTGGTAATTTTATTTTATGTAATGTTATTTAAACTGTCCATATATTTATTAAAATAATATCAGAAAAATGACTAAATAAAGTTAATAAAGACCGGGAAGGTGTTTCCAGTAGCGGCCACCAGAGAGCACTGATGTAGCCCATGCGCCGCCGGCACTCAGTGTTGTTCTAACTCTCGTCGGGTGAGGTTAGTGCCTCTTCATGCCTCTCTCTTCTGTTCCCAACTCCTCTTAGTGCCGGTCTTCTCCGACTTCTTCTGTCTTCTTCCTTCCTCTGAGGATAAATACTACCAGGTCAGTAATGAGTTTCATGTCGTAACCTTACATCAGCATAATGCCGGTTCCCATATCAATTTGCCATTCATACTCCAAAACTTTGTATGTTTTCAAAACTATACATGTTATTTCAACAAATTCAGAACATAAATATCCTCATATTTTTAAAATACAAACCCTATCACTCAAAAACATCATCATTAAAAAAAAAAATTAAACCAATATCACATGAATTTAATCTAACATAAATTTTTTTCTCTCTAACATAACATATTTTCACTCAGAAAAAGTTAAAATTTTGTTCTGATACAGAGTTTAGGCCCCTTTAAATCACCATGTGCTCCTCAGTGGCATACTGCCAACTTCCCATTCTGATAACTAGGCATTCTCCTCCACACCTTTTTATTTTCTGTTCGAAATTGATTACGAAGAAAATTAATTAGATGTTTCTCTTGTCGACAGGATGAGCGGGAGTGGAATCAGGAATATCCCGGAGGAGCAGATGCTCCTGTCGGATAGGGCTAGGAACGGTACCAGCATCCTCGCCGCCAACAATGGCAAGCTGAGTAAGTTTTATTTTTTTTCTAACTTAATAAAATAACATTTTTTTTTTCTCCACAAAGTACACTGAACCATAAATGAAAACAGTGAGAAGATTCATTAAACGTATTCAAATAAATGTAAATTTATTCCTGTGTGAATATTTTGCCATAATTATTAAGAAAGGATCTGCAGAAACATACCTGTCTTTGATGTTATCAACAATTTTGGAACAAGCGAACATCTCAATTTTTTAAAAAGTATTTACCAAAACTTGACTTGTGAACTCAGCAAAATAAATAAATTCTTTGTCATAATTAATTTAATTATATGTACAAAAAAGAAGAATTATTTTGCCATAATAATTAAATAAAGATCTGCTTACGCCTACATATCTATACTATTACAATAATTATGAAATAAGTAAAGGAGGTTTATATGAATATATATTTTTTAATCAATTAAATCTATCAAGTCCAAACAGCAAAAACAATTCTCTATCATAATTCATTTTTTTTTTAACCAAAATTTATTTGTTAAAAATTATTACAATAGTTCTGACGAGAAGGTGGTTAATTTTAAAATTTAAAATAGAAGGGATGATTTAAAAAAAAAAAAATTATTAATAATTATTATTGATTAATGTTTTTTTAATTGTTACTGATTCACCTAAGATATGTTTAATACTAGGAGATTCATTAAACAATTTAAAATAGATTAAATTATTATTTTTATTTCATTGAGAAATTTATTTTGAAAGAAGGAATCTCTTCAAAAACATCTTTCCTAGTAGTCAACAAATATTCTTTTATGATTGTCATTGTTTACATGATAATTACATTTTTGTAAAATTTACCTAAATTACTTAGGGTCATTACATTGAGAGGAACTCATTGAAGCAAAAGAGAATAAACAATTTTTTTAATTTTATATTTTTTTAAAATTATTTTTTAATTACAACTCTAAATTATTTTATTGAGAACGAGTTTAATTTAAAATTTTGAAATAGATCTTTTTTTTATGATTATTTCTTATTGAATTAGATTCATAATGAACAATTCAAAAACATCTTTAATATCCTCCTACAAATATTAAAAATTAATTGTTAGTATTTAAACAAAAAAAAAATATTATTTTTAATTTGACATAAAATATTATTATTAATTTTATGTAATTTATTTTAATATTTTGGCTTCATTTAATTGTTTAAAATATGAAATTCTGACTATTATAGAGATGAATGATATACATAGTAGATTGTAAAAAAAAAACACAATTTTATTACTAATTAATTTGGTTTTAAAAATGCATTTATTATCATCAAAAGAGATTTAAAATTTTTATTGAATAATTGTTGTAATTTAAATAAAACAAGAACAAAGCAATTTATGAATGAAATTCCATACTTGAGGAAAACCAATTGAGGAAGAAAGCAGTTGTAATTGATTGTAGTAAGCCTTTATCAACTGTACACCCTTTTTTTTTTTTCTTTTTCTTAATGATAAATGTACAGAAATGTATTTATATGATGGGAAATCCCACAAAGGAATAAGATAAGTCGTAATAAATTTTAATATATATATATATATTGGCAGTGAACTTTAGAAATATAAAGATAAAAAAAAAAATCAATATGTCGGAAAAAAAAGTAATATATTATTATAATATAAAAAAAAAAATGTATCAAACAAATTTTCTCAGGTATTGTGTTTAAAAATAATTTCATTTCTGCAGGATAACCAGTGAGACAGTCTTTCCTTGATAACATTTAAAATTTTTTTTTAAATGTCAGCTTTTGACAGTCAAATTTTAATATCGATATCAAAATTTTGATATATCGTTAAATGAGCTGCCATTTCTTAAAATTTGGCTAATTCTATATCTTCCTGTATATTTCATCTGAATTAAATAAAATTAAAAACGGCACTACTAATATAGTATGAAAACTTATTAAGAAGCAGTTATTTATTGAAAAAAAAAATATATTAGATGTAAAAAAAAAAAATGAAAAATAGTTTTTGTTCACTCTGTAAAGGTACTTGATTTGTTACAAGCAGATATTAGCTGTTCATCATTAATATGTTTTTTATACTCTTATTATTATTTTTCTTACATATACGTTTCTTAAATGAAGTCTTATTTGAAGGAAAACGATTACCTATTCCAATTAAAAATAATAATTCAGTTGATTAATCATTTACTGCTTCTGCCTACAATGTTTGCATATATGTTAAGAGATGGACATACCGTGTATGATAGACATATCGTGGATTAAATAGGAAACTAAGTAACTACATTTCATCTTTTTTTTTTTTTTGGAAGAATAAGAGGACTTAAGTAACTGTTATTTTATAATCTTATTATGTTTGATGTATATTCTATAGTTAATTATAGAATAGAATTTATTCTTTACAATTAATTTATCAATTATTTTGGGAGGTTCTAAGTAGTACCTGTGGGCTGTCTTTAACATTTATCTAGTAGCAGCACTTTGTGGATTTAAACTGATGAAACATTTGTAATTCCACCTATTTTGCAAAATTGGTATTTACTCGGTTGTAGTATTCATCCCCCCCCCTTCTTACTCCTCCCAAAATAATACCATTTATTTGACATCAAATTAAAAAGTAAGTTTTGTATCTATCGTGTGTATAATGTAACATTATAAAATAAATAAATGATTATAAAATAAGTAATAAATCGCCCGTAAAAAGCCTACAATAAAAAGACGAACCCATAAAAAGCCTACAGATATATCAAACATTATGTGCAATCATAATCAATTCGGTAGGCCCCACACTTTCAGAAGTTATTGAGCCCCATAAATTGCATTTATTTTATTATGTAATTTCGTCAGAAATTGTTCGTTTTAGAGATTACATAGTATAGAAACGAAATAATGATAATAATTTTTAAAATAAATCATATTTCTATTACATTTCATAGTTTAAAGTTCTCAGAATAATAATCAAGATTTTAAGTCATAATGTGTCTATGATGGTTGCATTATATTATTGCATATTATGTTTATTAAGGCAACCGTTATAAACATATTATGACTGAAAATCTTGATTAGTTATCATACAAGATAACCTTCAAAACAGTCAAAGAAAATTCATCTCTAAATAATTTGATAGAATTTTTATTTTCTTAAAAAATTGTTTTATATTTACTCTTAGTTGTTGTTGTTTTGATTTTTTTAAATTTAATGTTTGAATGTATTAAAGTACAGCTTTTTATAGTTCTGTAAACTCTATTATTGGCTGTGGTGCTCATAAAAAATGCTCATAAAAAAAATTAATGATCTTTGGTGAATAAAAATATTACCTTTTAAATATTTCATTGTTGAGATATTAACAACTCATGGTCAACATTTCTTGGCTATCCTTACAACTCAAAACACAATTCAATTTAATTAACAAAGGAGTAATTTCACCACTTGTGTTTTACTATGGTAACTAAATAATTATATTTAATATTTAAATATTATACCTAAAAAGTTGACTATATAAAAATGAATGTGTGATAAAAAATGACAAAATTTCACAAATATGAGAGTAGCCTGATAAGGAATAGTTGGGATGATAAACATTTACATACTATAAACACAAAAAAACAGTCCAACATTACTTTTGTTGGCGTTTTGAGTTGAAGGTCCTAGAGATAACCCCAAGAAGAAAAAATTCTTATTAATTATTGTTAATTAAAATAGAATTTTCATATCTCCTAGCATAGTATAAATATCAAGATTTAAATTATTTATTTTAATTTAGATTTTTTTAATTTTTTATTTATTTATTTTTTCTTCCATAAATAAAACTGACAACGTAAAGCCTAAGATTAATATAAATGGTGATAAAGAATTCTCTAGTTTACAGAGTGCATTGTTGTTTAATATTAAAGGCTATTGATATTTTTTTTTTAAGTAAAAAAAAAACACCCTTATTTTTACAGTCTCATACATCTATGTTTAAGAGCTTTCGGCACTCTGCACTATATTCATCTAAAAAATATTTTTAAATACACATTAAATTAGAATATGTATACATATAAACCTACATATTTTTTTTGTACATACATAAAAGGGAATAGGGAGTGATTTATTATAATTTTGGCTACCTTCTAATGTCTTTTTAGAATTTTTTCTTCCTATCAATTTAGCATTGCAGAAATTATTAAATGAATTTTTATTATCGAATCAGAACATTTTTTTTTATTGTTGAAAAGGAAGGTTAAATATATACTTAAATTAAAATTTATCACATACTGCTTTTTAGAACTTAAATTATTTATCTTTGATTTATTTTTAATAGATTATTTTTTTTTAAATAAAATGAAAAAATATAACTATTGCATCAGTTTTTATATTGTATTATTTAGTACGGGCAAAAATAATATTGATTTCTGTTTTAATTATGAATTTAATAGTCTTTTGGTTGACATAGGAATATAAATTAAAAATATTCAATTAAAATTAAGCTGTTAAAAAAAAGATAATTTTTTTCTTAGATACTAAGAAATAAATTAAAGATGGAAAAGAAAATTAAACATTGAAGAACATATGGCTCACACATTTGATTCATTCATTCAAGCGAACTCGTCATCTTAAAAAGAAATTTTTTTTATACTAGGCAGAATCACCAAGCGATAATACTTTCTTATTATCTGATTCGTTTCTCTTTAACAATTAAATGTAAACCTTTTTTATTTAATATAAATCTCTCTCTATATATATATTATATATTATGAATAGAGCTAGAATTGTTAGCAGAATTTCTAAATGTCTATGAGATGACTATGTAAGCTTTTAAATCAATTCATTGTGGAAGCAAAACTTCATTGTTAATAATTCATTTAAATGCTTATATAATTAACTCATGGACATTTGGGAGTTCTGCCAACACTTCCAGCTCTATTCATAATATTTTATTGTTACTATTACTAATTTTTATTTAAATATTTTCAAATAGAAACAGAATAACTGGTCTAGATTCAATATTACATTCAAAAAATTATTTTAAAGTTT